GCAGAGAAGTAGACAACGGCCATGACCACGTGAAGAGAGGGGGAAGGGAAGGGAGGAGGGGAGAGGGGGCAGAGAACCTGCAGGTGAGGCATCAAGAGAGCAAGAGGGGGCAGGCAGCCCCTTTTATCATGGGCAGGCCTACCTGGTAACTGTGGGGAGGAGCATACCTGGCTGTTGCCAGGTAACTGTGGAGATGGAGTTTAGACAGAATACTAACACTCATTATGTAAGATCCCAACCCATAAAGCTATCCAAGTAGCCCCAAATAAACAAAAGCATCACTATAGTGACTCCCTGCTGGGGATACGGTTTAAAGAGTCACTCAAAGGTTCATGTGTTACAAGCTTACCCTGTAGGGTGGCAGTACTGAGCGGTGGTGCAACATTTAAGAGGTCGGACCCAGCAGGAGGTCTGTGAGTAAACAGCGTTGTTCGCAAAAGGGATTGTGGACCGTCAGGCGCTCTGGCTTCCAGGTTGGCTCTCTAATCTTGCTCTCCTGAGCCCCTTTGCCCCCATGAGGTCCTCACCCAGAGCTGAGCTGGTGCTGGCATCCCACCCTTGGCTCTCCCAGATAGTGAGATACAAAAACGGTTTCATTCTTACGAAGTTAGCCTCCCTCTGTTACTTTGTCCCAAGGATGAAAACTGAACAAATACAGTAACCTACCAGAGCTGCAGGCTTCATGCTTCTCCAACCCCGAAATCGGGGTGGATTCGAACCGTGGTCTGAAGGGTGTAGCTCTGCTCTAGCACAGCTCTCACCTTTGCAAGGAAACATTCATTTTCCTTGCCCCTTTGAAGTACATGGTCCACATCTAGGCATGGGTCACACCTGCTGGTTATCCCAGCATTGAAGAAGCTGAGCCAGGAAGATTGTAAGTTCAAGACCAACATGGCCGGGCGGTGGTGGCGCACGCCTTTAATCCCACCACTTGGGAGGCAGAGGCAGGCGGATTTCTGAGTTCGAGAGTTCGAGGCTAGCCTGGTCTACAGAGTGAGCTCCAGGACAGCCAGGGCTACACAGAGAAACCCTGTCTCGAAAAACAAAAACAAAACAAAAAAAAAACAAACAAAAAGACCATAGTGAGTTCCACACAGCTTAGGTTCCACAATGAAAAAATTCTGCCTCAATTTTTAAAATAAAAAAAAATAATAATAATTTAAAAAGACGAGTCATTAGGGATATTTCTGCCCATACTGAAGTTTGAACTATTTCCAAATTCTTTTTTTAATCTTTTAGTCAAAAGTTAAGAACCAAGCCTTTTCTAATGGTTTCTTTTTATTAGAATGAGTTTTCAAATCAATAACCCTGGGACTTTTCTCTCTCTCCTTCCCCAATTACAGAGCTTCCTTTCAAGCTGCGTTAGACATTACCTTGGTTTACTGCCTTCGCCCTCCAACTACATTCCCCACTCATCTCCTGAGGGAAGGATGGACCCTCTGTGCTCATATCTCTATTAGCTTTTTAAGTCTCCCTTCACCAGAGACACTTGTAGTGCAATAACTCAATTATTTCAAGGGAGATTGGAAAAGAAAACGCTAGCAGCAAAGACAATTTACGTTTGTGTGAAGTGCAGACAGTGCAACTGGCATGGAAGTTTTGTAAGGAGGTCTCACGCCAGGACAGCGGTTCTCCACCTTCCTAATGTTGCGGACCCCGCCCCCTCCCCCACAATTCAGTTCCTCGTGTTACGGTGACCCCCCAACCATAAAAGTATTTTCATTGCTACTTCATAACTGTAATTTTGCTACTGTTATAAATCATAATGTAAATATCTGTGTTTTCCAATGGTCTTAGACTACTCCTGTGAAGGGGTCAGTCATGGTCGGGGGGGTCGAGACCCACAGGTTGAGAACCACTGATGTCATGGGTGTTTGAAATGGAGACTGACTTGAAAGGCTGCAGAGGCCACGTTCACTATTTTCCTTCTCACCACAGTACAGGGGTAGATTGTGGCAAGCTATGAAACCAAAGATCGAGCGAGCTTAGCAACCCAGCAGCCTTTACCAGGGTTTAGCTATTTACATGCTAATTGCAGTTCCAGAAGCCAACACCACACAAAGCCACAAAGCCGTAAGAAAACTGCACCTGTTAAAAGTGGGGAAAAGCCATTACTTTGCACAGAAGAGTATGTACTCAGTCCTGGCAGTCGTTTTCAGCTTTTGATAAGACAATGACACTTCCACATTTTAAAAAAACAGTAATATATTTATTCATTTGTTTATTTGTGTGTGCACACGTGGAGATCAGGAGACAACTTTCAAGAGTGTGATCTCGCCTTTCACCGTGTGAGTCAAGGATGGAACTTACATGGTCAGGTTTACCAGAAGCATCTTCACCCTCTGAGCCATCTTGCCAGCCCCTATGATTCCTCTTAATGCCATTATAAGAAACAGGTTGTGATGATCAACAGCAGCTGCCACTTGATGCCAGGAAAAAAGCCACGGAAGCCAGAGTGTGGACAACTAGAGAGTACAAGCGCCATCTAGTGGGGAGAGTGGGAACCATGCGGGAACACGGGTTTGTATGACCAGTTATTTCATTCCTGTATGTTCACACATACACACACACACACACACACACACACACACTTCTTGTTGCTTGGGGACAGTGTCTCTCTATAGAGTCCAGGCTGGCCTTGAACTTTCAATCCTCCTGTGTCAGCCTCCCAAGTGCTGGGACTACAGGCATATACATCTGGCTATTACCAAATTTGGGGTTTTTTTGTTTGCTTGTTTTTTGTCTTGTTGTCAAGAAATAGATATTTATATGCGTTCACCTGGCTGCTAGATATTGTTTCTTTTGGTTGTCGTCATTTTTTTTAACACTGAAGGTGAGCTAGCACCAGGTAGGTTTCCTCAAAGTAGCACAAGATTAAAACATTTGCTATACACAAGTTGTTTAGAAACTTGTATTCTGCTCAGCTGAATATTTGCATCTATAAATAAGGTCACTAAAGGGTTTAGAATTGACTTGAGACATATACTGCTCTAGTTTGATTTCTGCTGCTGGTCAGGAAAGGCTGTCTTGAGTTCAAAAATACTCTACAAAAATATGTAAAATGTGAAGTGTTAAAATACACTAGAAATTTTGTTGTCTTAAAAATGTTTGATTAAAATGTCTCTCCTGTAAGAGCAGTAACAGAACAAGGCTGGCTATACACTACATGGTGATTAGCTTTTGGAGCTGGGCACTGGGGACCACACCTTTAAGATAATTGGCATTTGGAGGGTATCTTTTCAAGAAGCAGGGAAAGGGGTGTTGTCACCAGCTACTTGAACGACTGCCTAAAGACTGAGCATAAGGCCAAAGGAAAACACTATGTGGTTGAAATCACCTCCAAAGTGACGTTGGAATCAGAGATCACAGTACACAAAGGCCAAAGATACCCACAGAGAGGGAAGTTTAGGAAACAGCAAGCAAGCAGAGTGAGCAAGCTGTGACACTTACTTCCTGGACGTCAAAGAGAGGCTATTGCAGTGAGAACGTGTGTATTCAGGAGTCTGGGGCATCTGGAGAAACTGCTAGTTGCCAGCAATTCTTTCTCCACAGCCCTGCCCATAGCAGTTTCTCTGTGGGGTTAGCATCGCACTCACCTTTAACCCTGGAGGCTTCAGACTCACATAAAAAAGGGAACAAATGGACAGACTCATCACTGATTGCTCAGGACAGATTTAGGACTCCTGGGACAATCTGTACATTTTGCACTTAAAGTATCTAAAATATTGGACGCTATAGTCTGTCTACCGGATAATAGCACATTAAACTTGTGATTCTAATTTTAAAAGATTAAGTATTTACGTTTAGATTGTGGGCCCTGGGGGTTGATCAGAGACACTAGACTGGCAAAGCCAAGGAACTGGACCCATCCCTAATCACACACACACACACACACACACATACACACAGAAAAGAAAATTAAATTGGTTTTTAAATGCATATGTCATGAATCAAGAGAACTTAATAAATTTGTTGGCAAAGTTTGATCACCACTGATAAGCTTGTTCGGCTTGTTGAAGTTTATTATTATTAATAATATGCAGTTTAAGGACTTATAAAGGTTGCCTTGCTCATTTAAATGTTTTAATCAAAGTGAAAGAATATCTATTTATAAAATGCAAAAGATTTGACATAATTTTATTTGCTCAATTAAGGAGGATTCTTTAATACATAGCAAAATATGACATAAATTTTTAAACGTTTAGGAAAACCTAGGTTGCTGATATGTAACTTTGGCAAGTCAGCTATTTTAAAGTCTCAGTTTAGCTCTCGGGATGGCGGAACAGTGTTCCGTGTCCACATGGTGACCTTGGAAAAGTCATTCTATCTTGATTTCAAGTTTTTAAAGCAAAGGATGAGGCCCAGCGGTGACCAAAGCCTCTCCTAGACCTAACATTCTAGAATTCCCACACTGCCGGTCAGCTTGCTGTCCATTTGACAGACTGCTGATTTGACAGGCTTCCGGGGAAGGCTGCCCCACCTTGAT